ATTATTAATTATTTTTAACAATTAAATTAAAATAAAATTTTAATAATTTTAGTAACACTAATGAAATTAACAGCGGGCACAACTATAAGTGGAAAAGAAAAGATTCTGATTTCATCTTTTCCTCATTCCTATTTCCTCACATGTATTTTCTCCATTTCTCACTAATGAAATGAAATTGCCTTCCTTTGCAGGGCCCACCATAGTTTTATTTGGAGCACCCATCTGCAGGGCAAGTGCGAAGTTTTGTGAAAATTTGTGATGGTTTTATGGATTGACCTCTTCTTTTTTTTTTTCTTTTTTTTTTTCTCACTGGGAAATTGGGGGAATGGGATAGTTATTTGGGTCAGAACTCAATATTTAGACGTCCAGGCACTGCCTCTCACAAAGGGATGACCAGTAAACCACTTGATACCGGACTATAGACTGACTTAAGTATAACGTGCCGAGGACCATTGTAGTACCCCATAATTTGTAGGAAGAGCAGGGGAGGACCAGTAAACCACTTTGTACCGGATTACGGATTAACTTAAGTATAACGTGCCGAGGACCATTGTAGTACCCCATAATTTGCAGGAAGAGCAGTGCTAGGGGCACTCGCCTCTTGCACTCTCCGGCCAACACTGCCCCTTTCATTGGGCCACGTAAGCTTGTTTCAGCTTTGAGTGTAACCTCTTACCGGTCAGAGTAACGTGGCCCAATAAAAGTGAAAGTGTTGGCCGGAGAAGGCAGAAGGCGAGTGCCCCTAGCACTCCTCTTTGCAGGAAAGCAAATACAGTATTTTAAAGCATCTTTTGCTCTTCTAAAAGAAGGCAAAAAAGAAAGAAAATATTACTAGAAAGAAAAACTGAGCCAGTATTGAATCCAACTAGCATCTTAGCATCGCTTGCTTTTCAAGATAATTTTTTTTTTCTATGGTGGATGAACATACCTTTCTCAAAATAAAAAAGTTTGTTGGTTGAATTGCAAAACTAAAATATTAGATAGAAATAAGTCTCTAATACTAAGAATTATTTTTTATTTAATTATTTTTATTTTATAATTT